CATTTTAATAATACCAAAAGTTAAACAGTCTGAAAATTATAAGATTTTCAGTTTTGTTTCTGAGGCTTATCTTATCTTATCTTATCTTATCTAGGACCGCGCATGGGCGCAGTGCACGTCGACCCAGTGGGATCTTTTCTGAGGCTTCTTATACAATGCTGTATGTGTGTTGGATGTATGTATTAGGGCATGCAAACCGGTTAACCGGATAACCGAAAAACCGGATAACCGACACAATTTGGAACTCGGTTTTTGTCAGTTATAAAACCGGGCTTTTCGGTTATTTCGGTTTTTCTTCTACGATTTTAGATAATTTAATAACTCATACAAGAACATGCTTCTTTAGTCATATCAATAAAAACAATTATTGTAATGCAATGTGAATGAGTAGAGTATAGTCTATGACTATGGTATTGAACTAAAGTACCATGTATCTTCTAGCTAAAGCTACACTTGCGAGCAAAAGTATGGAATCACTTACATGAAGTTGTTTCCACGCGATCTTGTGTACTAACCAATTTGTTAGTAACAAAAAAAGTAGCACCATTTTAAAGATTAAACTTTTAACTTTAAATTGATACCAAATTCATTTAAATCACACCAGTATTTAAAAAGATATCCCGGCTGATGTGAAGAAGTAAGGAAAAAGACATGTATCAACTGTTTGATTCGTCGCGAGTTGCGGCCTATTTACCCCCCATAAAAGCAAGTGTTATCGGATTTTTGCTTTCAAACGTTGATCCATACACATCTCCGCTTCTTTTGACACTTTACCTGGGATTCTACACCTTCAGAAGCAGCACAAATCGTTGCACTATTGCAAGAAGGGCTCAGCCAGCGGGCTGTCGCACGTCAGCTCCACATAAGCCAGTCCTGGGTTTCGAAAGTTTTAAGACGCTTTTGGGAGACTTGTGGCTTTATCCCGAGACCAAGTTCTGAACATTGCCGGTGCACATCGCAGAGGGAAAACCGTTTTTTCATGTCAACTTCTCTACGAAATCGTCATTTGCCTGGTATCGACGTCCAGCAAGAGCTCAGAAATGTTCGTAGGATAGCTGTTAGCAAGTGGACAGTTCGTCTAAGATATTATAAACAATAGAATTTGACTCCAAAAAGGCCTGCCAGAGGCTTGAAATTGACGGCAGGTCACCGATAAGCACACTTTCAATCAGCTCGCACTCGGAATTCTTGTAAGTGATTCCATCCTTTTGCTCGCGAGTGTATAAGCGCGCGGGCGCAAAATGGAACGCGCTTTGTATTTGACCATTGCCGCCATTATTTTTGCTTTGCTAGTCTCTGTCAGTGTCAACTTACATATTATTTAATTAAGCATAACTATGACCAAATGTTCTTCTTCTTTTTTGATGATGTTGGCAATACACGTCGAGGTCGACTTGATTTGTGCCATTTTCCAGTATATAAGTGATACGAGTTACAAAATGAGATCAAGTAATGATATAATGAAGGATGATAGATGATACCCTTTCCCACCCTTTGAGTCTCAGTAAAGTTGTGGTGCTTTACTGAGACCTCCTATGGACAACTTGAGAGAACCAGAAGAATCACGATGCACTGTTTTGCTTCACTTGCCCACACCCATGGACGTTCACGAACACTCAATGGTTAATAATCCACCATTATTACACATTAATAGTCGCCCACACACGAATTTGAGAAAATAAAACAAAATCTTGTCAAACTAGAATATAAAAGAAATAAAATGATTTTTATTATAATTTGCAGCATTTTTATTTACTTACAAACAGTCGCCCCAAAAAACCCGAAAAACCCGAAAAAACCGGTTTAGTTCGGTTTTTAAAAATAAAAACCGAAAAAACCGGTTTTTCCAAACCGCTCGGTTTTTGCATGCCCTAGACTATGTATATAATGTATAATGTATGAAACTAATAAAATAATGTCTTTCATCGAAAATTATTCAACTTGTTATAAGTGCCGGTTTTATAACGTCAATTTCAAGTCTTAGAAATTACATTTAAAATAAAAAGAACAATCTAAATTTTTATTAAATTACTGGAATTACAAACTCATGAATATTGTTGACAAAGTAGGCTATTTCATAGGCTCAGTCCAATTTCACAGGATTAACTAACTTCACCCAAGCCGACATAATTTCATCTGGAAAATCTGTATAAAACAGTAATCTGTATAAAACGAATTGCAAATTCAGGCTGCAAATGCACCCCCGGCGGAATCGGGAGAGCTTTTTTAAAAGCACAATACCAAACAAAGCCCGATCTGCATTAACGAGCAGTGGAAATCGGAGAAAAACGAACGCGGTGGAAAACTATTTGATGTATTGTTTAAACGTCGAATCCGATTTTTATTTACCGTACATTTCGAATAGCCTTAAGTGATAAAAGCAAAATGGTGAAGTGAAATGAATGTAACTCCTGTTTGTTTTGCGAAAGATAATATTTAATCTGCTTCCGACGCTGTTCATTGCATTTTGAAACAATATTGAAAGTAAATGTCGGCGGGCGCCTGGCGCGTCAATATTTAACAACGGACTTAACGGAGTATTCATTGTAATTGTTTTAATGAAAATTTTTAGTGCCGCGCTCATTTTCGGCCTTTAAATTCGGCATTATTTTTCAATAATAGAAATCATCACTTTAAGTAGAAAAAATAGGAAATAAATAAATAATGTATTTTTATATCAGAATCTGGATAAAAAATCAACTTGAGCATGTATTTCTTGAAGGGTGTAGAAAAGCAACAAGTGTACGGCGTAGGTACACGTCTCAGCCGACGGGTGCTGAGAGGGTGCGTGGTTCGATTTCCAGCGGTAATGTGAAACTTGAATTTTGTTGTGATATTTAAAGAATGCTATGAAAAATATTAAAATGCTTTTTTAAATAAATTACTCGTAATGTTAAGCAAAATAAATGTGGTTTTAAGTGTGCGATTGTAGTGTAATGTGTTATTTTAGACACTTACCTTATTTTATGGTTCCGCCCGTCTCGACTATCATGTAAAGTGAAATTAAAAAATTTTCACTGATATGAAATTTAATAATTTAGCAAAAATTAATGAATTATTTTAAAAATATTTGAAGAAATTTTTTAAAGGAACACAAGAACACCAAAAACAACTTATTAGAGAAAATATTGAATACTGAAATGAGTGTTTATGGGAGACGTTCGTTCAGGTCTGCTGCCCAGGAGCGATTGAGAGCTGGGCTTGCACGCGGCAGCCGCCCGCCCGCTGCAGCCGCCCGCCCCGCGCTGAGGGCGGCTCGCCTAGCATATAACCCCATATAGCACCACATTATACTCGTACGACTATGGCTTTACTTTTTAATGGATTAACAACCATAATTATTTCCATTTTTTCGGTTGATCCCTAAAAGTCTAAAACATACATAACATACCTATTTCTCTTAAAATACCTGTTGCTTTGTATGTGAGGAAAGTGTTTTGTGTTACTTACAAGTTTTGATTAAAGTCATACATAATGAATGAGTGAGTCTAATGTCCGTTTTCACCATCAATCCCTAGTTTTTAAGTGACCCCTATGGTAACACATAACAGGCATTTTGTTGCCATAGGGGTCACTTAGAAATTAGGGATTGATGGTGAAAACGGGCATTAGGCTCAGTTGCACTACCTAACTTTGATAGTAACTATAACGATAACCAGTGTATTTTGTATGGAGTTTGACAGATTTTTGACGTTTGTCAAAGTTAAAATAAGATGGTGCAAACCCACCCTTAATTCATTTAGTTTGAAGTTACAAAAATGTTTTATTACTATTTCAGTATAATAGTAGATTTACTTACTTATTCTAAGTACATGCCCCGATACTAGGTACCTGCTATATGCTTACGGGGCGGCGAATTGTAACATAGCCGCGATTACATTAGAATATAATTATATTTATTGCTTTTATTTCATTACATCGAAAGTGACTAATTAAGACTCTGTTGAACTATAAATCTCAAATCTTTCAAAGAACATATTTGAGATTACTTATGTTCTAGCTAGACTAATCTAATGTAATGATATAAAATCTTTTTGAAAATAAAATAAAGGAAAAGCTTTCAACCGTAGACCGCAAAAATGAAAATGAGATTGATTATGCATTTGTGCTTTTTTTAAGTATCTTATTCCGAGTTTGACTTGTTAAACAAGTTCCTAGAAAAGAGCTATGGAATTGCGAGAGGCTGAAAAATTGGTTTTTGCTTGGAGAGAAAATAATTCGATTGAAATTGGTTAAAAGTTAAATCGAGTTGTCTATTACGTCCATTTGCCGGCGTCAGTTGATATCGACTAGTTCTAACTTCAGTTTATTTCCGTTTCTCTAAATTAAATGTAACTTAACTAAGCGGCCCGACGCCGCGGCGCTGGGAGTTATTTTTGTTCAAGTAATAACCTAAACTGTCGAGTTCAATTTGTGAAAGTGCATTGTACGAACATCCTTAACTTTCCAATAGTGTTTTGTCGGATCTCCTATGTCAGTGGTTCTTAACCGGTGGTCCGCGGACCACTTGTGGTCCCTGGAGGCATTCCAAGTGGTCCACGAAGACATCGTAATACACAAGTGACGTGACGTGATGAGTCGAGTCAACACAACTCAAACGGCGCACAGTGGGCGAGAAATAGACCTCGCCTTTCATAGGATTTTGAAAAAATAAAAAAAGTTGTCCCTGACAACACAGAAATTTGGTAAAATGGTCCCTCGTGAACTAAAGGTTAAGAACCACTGTCCTATGTAATATTAAAAGACGTGATCGATTCACATGTTAGCAATCACTATTGATCCATTTTCAATTGCGGTTGCATGCTTGTAACTACGAATCGCAATTAATTGAATAACATCCTTATCGATTACTTGTTTCAGAGGCAGTTTTTAACCGACGAATGATAAGTAGTACCTATGTAGATGTATGATATTCTTGATATGAAACATAAACGAATAGTTACTGTTCGGTTTATGTTAACAGTGATTAGTGTCAGTAATATTAACAGCAGCTACTGTTGTTACTTCTCGAATACTCTGGCGAGTTCAGATTCGACGTAGAGCTGTCAGTACATTTGCGAATAGAGTTATTTATACATATAGATATATAAATTTAATGGTTTTAATAAGTGGCAGGTATTAGTTTAATGTATAACTATACAGGGTGTTTGGCGGAAGGTTACACAAACTTCGTGGGTGTATTAATTATTATGTGGTAACGTCATTTTAAGAATACAAGTTCGCCCATTTGACCCTAAGTGAGCTACTATTTATTTAATTTTTTAGAAAGTAAAGGGGGCGTGGCCCGTTTTGCAGCAATATGCCCAAAAACAGAACACATTGCTCGTGTAAGCAATGATGACAGCAGCGACGTCATAATGTAAACAGTTCACATTGCTTGCGTAGTACTAAAGATTCGAACGTTGAGTACAGATACCGCAGTGGTTAATGAGCACATATTTTGATTACTTTGTGTGTGTGAATTTGTAAAGTGACACTGAGTTTCGAACTCAGCGCATTAGTTGGCTTCTTGGGGGGGATGCAGTCAGCCTTCCCGTAGAGCGACTTTGCTCGGCCCCTCCCCGTGAGTAGCGGCAGAAGCCGTGAAACGAATTACTGCACCAAGATGACAAACCGAAGTGTAGGTTTGTTGTCGACACGAAAAGAAGAAGAAGTTGGCATCTCTACATCTCTATGGTTCTTACCTTGCAGCCCTCGCAGGAGGTGACCCCGTAGTGGTACCCGGAGGCTTTGTCCCCGCAAACCTTGCAGGGAGCCGCCGCTTTGGCCCCGCCGCTCGCGCTGTCCGCCGCGTACTGTTGTTCTGGAAACAAATCATTAATTAATGGTAGAATATGGTATGGTGGCTGGTAGGGCCCAAAAGAAAAGGAGACATGTAAAGTGCCCCATAGGGCTACCTTCTACTGGTGGTCTAAATGAAATAAAATATTTTTGATTTTGATTTTTATAATTAAACAAAACGCAACAGCACAAAAGGGAATCAACGGTAGGACACATTGGGAGTGACCAGTCCCAACAGTGCACTGTTGAATCTGGTTACTCCCAGCTATAATGATGAAAAAGGGCATCTGACCTCTCATAAACCCACATAATTATAATATTTTACATAATTTAATAATTAAAAAGTTCGCAAATAAAGCTTAGTTAGCTAGTATACGGATGTTGTAGTCTTAATAAGGATTTTTGACTAAATAAAAAAAACATTTTTTTTTTCATTCACCGTTTCGCTCGTTTGCTTTCTGTCCTATAACATTTTTTTTTTAATAACCTAACATAAACAATTTGCTAACAACATTTAAATTGTGATGTCAAAAATACAGGGTGGCTAAAATACACGCATTTAGACTTGATCATTGGGGGCCTTATTAACAAAAGTCACACCCTAGTTGAACTTTGGCTTAAGTTGTCATTTAGTATGGAAATGTCATTTTAATCCAGTGTTCATCCTATTTGTAACTTTTTATTAATAAGAGGAAGTGCGTTTGTGTTTCTGCTGTCATAAACAAATAGGCTCCAAATTAACAGGCAAAGTGCTTATTAACGTCGATCGAGGATGGAAGTGGCCAATTAAGCCTAAACGTTGTTAAACGTCTAGACTGTGCACTTAACTATTTGAAGTTTACGGGCAACAGAATTGATAATTCAATTACGCAACAATATAATTATTTGCAAACGCCTCCTGGAGTCCCGGCGGAGTGGCGTGGCAGCCCTCGCAGCATCCCGAGTGAAGCTCAGGTGATAGTAGTGACTATATATATATATATATATATATATATATATATATATATATATATATAGTTTATCCGAAACTATCCGTAACTTTTGAATCAGTTTCGGTTACGGTTATGGACATTTTTTTATTTCGGATATCCGATAGTTTCGGTTACGGTTACGGATATCCATAACATCCTTGCTTGGTAAGATGGCCCTCTCCGTCCCGCTCATACCTTTTAAAATGGCTTCTCCACCTCACCTAAGCTAGAAACTTAAATTTTGGGCACATTAGAATAATATTTTTAACCAAGGTAGATAAAGTTAAAAACGGGATTATTTCCAAAAAAACAAAAATTGTCGACAATTACAGCAAAAATTTACCAGGTGTTATACCATTTTGGAATCCTTACTAAATGCGCCAAATTATGACGTCACTTGCCACACTCGCGTAGTACTTTTTTTTTTCAGTACAGTCAGTTTAAACTAGGCAAAATTTTTATTTTGAATTTTTTTTTGAGAACAATGTATTTTTTTCATCCAAGCTGGAGCAGCTGGTTTTGCAATTTTGATAACAATTTAGAGAAGCATTATTCAGGGTTACATAACAAAAAAAAATTTGGAAAAAGTGAAGATTTGTGGCAACATGAGTAAAAGGACCGTCACCTGGAGTAGAATTTTTTGATTTTTTTTAAATGCCTATTATTTTTAAAATATGCCACATAGATTTTTTTTTATATTTTTCTGATAACCAGCACAATTTGCCTCAACACCCAGTTCCGGCTTGACGTTACATTACGGGACACCCTGTATATATATATAGTGACTGAGTTTCTTGCGCTGCTTCTTCTCAGCACTGGCCCATTTATTGTCCCGAAGCAGTGGTAGGGTTAATATTGGGACGTGTAAAAGCGCTTTTTTAAAGCCTATTTGCAAAAATAAATGAATTTTATGAATTTTTAATTTTTAATTTTTGTGAACATTCACATTCGCTCTTATGTCATGAGGCACAAGATCCACTGACAAATACCTACAGTTCAGTAAGTGCTGCCCATTATCTACTCTGTCCTGATGGCTAGATTCGCTCGTTCGCTGCACTTTGTAAAAGTGATGCGATACAATGCATGTGGTTCGTTCGCTTGTTTCAGCCAAAAGACATCCACTGCTGGACAAAGGCTTCCCCATAAGGAGGTGCATGTGGTTAAATAAATTAATTTAATACAAGTTTTTTGTTATTTTTTATTGTGCGGCGTTGCTATTAGTATTCTGTGTAGCATTTATAGGGTTGCCAAGAAAAACTAGGAACTTGAGCTTTTAAAAAGTTTTCCTTCAACAAAAGGAAATATATCCGATTTGAAGCTGTAGTAGTAAGGTAGGAAGCTAGATAAATAACTTAAGACTATAAAGTGTTTCATTTTCATCAACAGCCCTTTACAGTCCACTGCTGGACTATAAGCCTCCTCCACTATAGTGGAGGGTTTTGCCATAATCTCCACGCTTGGCAGGCGGGTTGGAGATCGCAGTTTAAAAGATTGATGTTTTTCAGAGAGCGCTGCTGCCCATTCTCTGTTTGATGTGTAGTCCCTAAGTCGCCTCTTACGACACCCGCGGGAAGAGTAGGGGTTGGTGACAAATGTATTCTACTCTGCCGTCACCACACGGCTAGCGTAAAGTGTTTCATTATTATGGTTTAATTTTTGAGCAGAATGAAAAAGTCCATAAAGAAATAGTTTCAATGGTTGTCCTCTTGCCATTCTAGCCATGTGACCTTTATAATAAAAAATAAATGTCTCGCTAATACTGGCAGATTTTAAATTGTCAAAAGTAGTCACATGCTGCTGACGCGGACGGATGAGACAGATAGAAAAATAAAAAACATTGTTTGTGACAGGGCTCAAGAGCTTACAGAATTATTATTAAAACGTAGGACAATGTAGGATTATAGTATGTAGTATTAAAGCAGCAGTTAACACATTTTAAAAACTAATCTTAAAAAACTTCTGTCATCAACTGCGTGTACACATTTGACAGCTTTTTAAATAATAAAAATTAGTGATGAGCTAAAAGTTTTAGTCGCAGAAAGTTCGTGTATGAGCCGTAGGTCATCATGCACCTTCGCCAGTAACTGCATACAAACACTGACACTAAGGCCGAGTTGCACCACCTAACTTTGACCGTAACTACAACGATAACCGGTGTTTTTGTATGGAGTTTGACAGATTTTTGAAGTAAGATGATGCAACCCAGCCTTAGGCAACTCGCTCATCTATACAGGGTGGAAGCAGAAGATAAATAACTCGAGCTCTCAATGGCAATCACGGAGTGGCAGGTAGCAAAAACAGACGTCTCTTCTAATTGAGTCTGATCAACAATAGGGAAGGGACACGGGGTGGTCACGTTGGCTGGCGCCTCTCGCCCTGCGGCTGTCAAATGACAATATTCGTAACATTATCCCAGTATTTAAGATATACAGGGTGAAAGGGAAAGGCGTAGAATTGAAAAGTCAAATCCAAGTGCTCCGATATTTGTGCCGCTGAGTGTATTTTTGAGCCAAATGTCGATGAAATGCAGTTTATTTACATACTATTTATTTATTGAACTTATTTGCTTATTGAACATCTATCTGTATATCTCATTTATTTTCTCAGTTAACTATCAGTGATCGCTCTCAACGGTTGACTTGTTCGAAAAAAAAAACTGGACAAGATACTATTGTAAAAAAAAATATTTACTTTAGTAAAACATAGAACTGCTGTTCCTGTTATTTTTCAATTTATCTATTAGACGTTGTTGCGATCCAGTTCTTACTACTACTAATAATGTAATTTAAAATTTATGCTTTTTATTTTTTTTTAGGTTTAGCAGATGAAGTAAAATTTAGATTTTAAATTAATTATTTATTCAAGTTATCCTTAAATATAAGGCAATTAACTGACATTGAAACGGCAAGGCGACGTACTCGTATCCCGCTTTGAGCATCAAATAGCACATGCAGTTCCAGTTGCAATCTGTATATTTGTTAGCTAGTGTAGGTATCTACTTTGTCAATTTTCACTTTCTTTTAGGGCTACTTCTCTGCTTTCTTCGTGTATCACTTTACTAATACCCCTGTATTGTTGTTTGACATGACACACACGTGCCCTCTAATGGGGTGTCATCGCGGCCTGCCCACGCGCGATGCGAGTGACGTCAGATGCATTGTCTAGTCTAAATCTGCAGCATTATGCTTCATCTGAGACGTTACATTCATTAGGAATAATGAATATGAAGTTGCTATTTTCATATTTAGGTACTAAGCGCTACGAATAAAAAATTAAACGCATTTTAAACACTAACTTAGTTCATTTCCATACGAAATATCACTTTAAGGCACTGTTCAACACACTTGTTAGTCTAATTAACTACCTACTTTGTTTTTGTCGGTAATAAAATAAAGAATTATTTTACAAAAAATTACGATAAAAATCTTATGTTAAGTACCTACCAAAGGTTGTTTAAAATGTGATTTGCCACGACTAGCTTCATACGTAGGTAAACCATCATCATCATCATTTCAGCCATAGGACGTCCACTGCTGAATATAGGGCCTCCCCCAATGATTTCCACAATGGCCGGTTAGTGGCGGCATTCCCGCTACCTTTATGAGGTCGTCGGTCCACCTTGTGGGTGGACGTCCTATGCTGCACTTTCCGGTACGTGGCCTCCATTCCAGAACCTTGCTGCTCCATCTGCCGTCAGTTCTGCGTATTATATGCCCTGCCCATTGCCACTTCAGCTAGCTAATCCGTTGGGCTATATCAGCGACCTTAGTTCTTTTACGCATCTCCTTAGGTAAACACAAAAATGTTGAATATTAATACTAAAGCCATCGTCTTACAATAATTAATTTATGTTCATACATTGATGTTTAATTTTATGGTCGGTTGACTAATACAGCGGCGTTTTTATAATGTGAAGGTGTGGTGAAGGCAGGCATCCGCCGTCACATAGTATGAAATTTTCGGCAGCGCGTCTGTCGTGCGTTTGTCGCACTGCTAAATCGCCTAAACGTGAAAGCGCTCTTAAACAACAACAAAAACCTTTTCTTCGGCC